CAGCCACATCTCGTAAAAAAGAATGTCACTTTCAGGAAAGTGAAAAAAGAAAACAGCATTAAGCAACGGCTGACTAAAAGAAGAGAAAGCCAAGATAAGGGCCAAATACACGGAAGCAAACAAATGAATGATGAAAAGAATCACAACTGACAAGTGAAGAGAGCAGAAGACCTGGCAACCACAGTAGATTAGGGTTAAAGAGAAGTATGTACCATATAATGAACCGTATGAACCATGTAATGCGGCCGATAAGATACTGAGGAAATATATTTGACCAGTGAGACTACCCAAGAACAAACAATAAAAACCATTCACTGAAGTTCAAAGCAGCGGAAAAGGCGTGTATGACACATGTACAGAATAATGCCATTGAACCCATTAAACATCTACGCAGCATACATTGTTATGACTTTATATTCTTTCCTATCAACGACAGAAGACACTAGTAAGGACATTAGACAAATCGAGAATGACGAAATAGAAAAGCTATACTGTGTATCAGCTGAAGTAGTGGAGTTAGAAATCGCGGTAACTGCAAAGGTACTCCGTAATCTCTGCAAAAATATCTCAGAAGAAGAACAAGTACCGACAGACTGCAAAAGAGATGTCTTGTTAGGGTACCGGAGAAAGTAGATTGGTAAGTGCGAGAATTCCTGAGGGATCGAACAACTGCCAGTACCAGAGCCATTTTCAATAGGCTGTTATTAAACCAAATGATCGATCATATACTGACTGAATTACTACGTTACCGATTATTATTGAACTATTAATTATTCGGAACACATAATTGTGGATCACCTTTCTTGAATTTGACAGGACGTTTGACAAGGTGCATTTGAAAAACTTATAACTCACGGAGCTCCTACGAAAGACTAAACTTCAAATTCGTCCGTAGAGGTAGTTCTCAGATAATCTTAAAGTAAAAACTGACGTCGAACAAGGATACCTACTCCCAACTCTCCTCTTCTGCTAGATATTGGCTGGATTATGAAGATGTCTACATCTTAGAGGGATAAAATACAGTCGAAACTTTGGACACAGCTAGACGATTCAAACTTCGAAGATGATTTGGGCCTTTCATCCTATACTAAGAATTGAATGCAATGAAGATAGTTGGTGAAGCAAAAAATTACGCAACGGTATGCTTTAGGATTAACAAAGGATCAGACAGGATCCTGAAACATATTTCAGTGAGCACCAAACAATTCACATTTGGTGGGGAAGCTCCGGAAGCGCTTGAGACCTCTACTTCTCTTAGTGGCATCTTTGATAAAAATAAACGATCTGATGCCGGTAACAGGGCATAAATTGGGGAAGTAAGGACAACATTCCCACAGTTACACAACACCTGGAACTCAAAACAACTGTCATGCAACACCAAAGTCAGGGTTTCTAAACACAAATGCTAAAACAGTCCTATTTTACTGACGTAATATAGAAAACTGCCACAACCATCAACAAAAAAGCACAGGTATTTATAAACAACTGTTTACGCAAGATACTTAAGATCTGTTGTTCAGATACAATCATCAATAAACTATTGTGGGAGAGTACAATTCAGATGCCACTTGAGGAGGAAATTAGGAAAAGTTTCACGTGAATTGTATACAGTTTACAGAAACTACCGAACTGCATCACGAAGCTATCCCTGACTTGGAATTTTGAAGGCTAAAGGAAAAGAGGCAGGTCCGAGAACACATCGGACCGGGAATTAGCGGGAGACTATAAGGGAATGGATACCACCTAATGATAACTAGAAAGGAAAGGTTAGGACAAATTTGTTTGAAGAACCTGATTAATGGTTTACGTCCCAAGAGAGGTAACAAGCTTAAATAAATAAGCAAGTATATACAGTAGTAAAAATTTAGCATATCGGAAAACGGTTTGTGCTACTTAAGATGCTTTCGTTTCACACATTTTAAATTTTTAGTACCGGAAACTGCCAACTTTGTCCTGAGTATGCTAAGATTTCTACTAATCGCTCAAGTATTACACATGTCCGATTAAATATGAAAATAATATTGTTCATTTACATACCGTTTATTTTAATAATACTTCTATTTATTCTACGATGTATATCTTAAAATGAGGAACGGCTCAATTCTTGTTTGGTATATGTTAGCTTCTTACAGATGGCTGAGCAGTAAATCAGGTGATAGGTCAGGAAGTTAATAACCTACGGTATTCTACTTCAAGTCCTAACTTTACTAACATTGTATTTTAGTTTTTATACTCATTAAAGTGTTCTAATACTCAAATACTATAGTGAGCAGAGTTGCCGGTGGCTAGCAGTGGTGCCCAGGACACTTGTCAGTTGTATGTGCCTTAATCCCAGTGTTGATGTTCACTCCTGTACCCCAAACCAGTACTATACACTTCAAAAGACACCGCATTATCCTTTTCGCAACCAAGTTTACTTAGCCACTGGCTTGTACAACGGGGTGAATTTCAATTCGTTTGTATTGCTTGTTTAAATCTTCGCATCGATATATAGGGCTGCAATTAATCGGTCTGTTTTGGCTATGTACATCTTAAATATTATACGATAACGGTTCAGTATAATTTTTCTCACTCCATTAATTTTTAGTAATATTTAGATTACATAGAATTTACATGGCAGATTACTCATAACAGTAAATTATTTTTATTCTTAATTAGTTTTTTTGTCTAGTTTACACTCAGCTGTAATTGTAAAACACGCGACTACAGCTAAACTTCCTCATTGTTAATATAAATGTATGACAAAAATTAGCGATTAACTGGTCAATTACCTTGATTTAATAATAATTTAATGTATTTACCAGGTATCAGCTACTGATTAGTAGTAACATTAATATTAATGTGTTATTTATCAAATCTGACTGGATTTAATTATCAAAATTGTTAAACATCAAAGTAGTCCAATCTATACACTATTGATGTGATTTATTCCCTCTTATTACCTTTACACATACATGAACCGAAGACTGGTGATATGTTACTATGCTGTAGAAATGAACTGTTTATCCTCAGCCTGTAAATTATAGTTGTTTATTTTAATTTAAAAGAATGGTATTTAATGAAAAATATAAATAAATTAATTCTAATATTTGGCACAACTAACTAGTCTGTACATTAGTGACAAGTGAAATATGTCAATATGTATATCAGTGAAATCATTTGTTTAAGTTTACTTATAATCAATAGTTGGAGTTATCATTGAACTTATGTATCTGTATTTGGTGTTCAGGTCATAGTCGTCTATGTGTGAAGACATCTATTATGATAATCTAATCACTACACAGTTTAGATCTTAATAAACCATAAGAATATTTTTAATTAATTTTTCGAACAATTCTGAAGATGAAATTGTATCACATAAAGCATCATGTAAGTTCTACTTTTGGAAAAATTGTTTTGACGGTGAACAGTAATAAAAATGAAAGTTCAGTTTAAGAACCTCTCTGTAAAATAAGTTCAAAAATCTAATAGAAAAAAAAGTACAGGTTTTGTGGTTACTATGGTATCTGAATCGGACGGGTCACGGTAATATACTTGTCTGATTAGTTGAGAGCTAGTATCTTTGCTGCTTTGCGTTCTTCAGTGCTTACTGTGGTAAAGTTACTGAACTCTGACCAGGATAGACGGTGGGCGGTCCCAAATGCTAGTTTCATGCAGCTGCTAATCACCGAGGTCTTGCATCAACTCCCCTAATTCCATCGGCTGACGATGACACTTCCTCAGTGGGTAAGCTCTATGACTGTTCTAGCAAACAACCGATTATTCCATCACAAAGTCAGTGGACGAAAACAATAGCTTTATGTGGGTTGTGACTGGCAGACAACTACCTCTGAGCGGTTCCTATCTGTGATATCATGTCTTTGGCTATAACGGCAAGACGTTGTTGAGTTCTAGTGAACACTCATAAAAGTATGGGCCTATTATGTCCTGAAGTCGTAAGATTGGATAGTGATATCCAAGAATCAGTTAGATGGCACTGTATCACTACTGATTGTCTAAACCTTAAAATCGTAGGTAACATAATTATGGATAAAGACAAAGGTTTATAAAACACTTCACTTTCACGATTATTTCATTATAGAATGCTAACTTTGAAATCGTGTAAACAAGATATCACCGACTACTATAAGTTCCCCTATGAAGTGAAAATCTACGATTGAAGGCCTTTACCACTTCTGTTTGGAATCGATTAATTAGGCATAGGTAAAAAAATAAAGAATATTTGATCACTTTGATAGTACATATTTTCCTTTTTCGTATTTCTGTATCCCCTAATTATCTCAAAATATGTTTTCATTCCATGTAAATCATGAACCGATCCAAGTTAAACCTTATTGCTTGAATTTCTTCCCAGGTTTAATTAGGAGAAACCTTACACTACTGGTCAAACAATATCATTATCAGACTATCACATCCCACCCCTATATTTTAAAACGGATAACTAAATGTTAGTGTACAGATCGGGGTAGCCATTATTTGCCGTTATATAGCTTCGACACATACTACCTATTTATAGTAAACTATTGGCTAACCGTCAATAAACATAAATGGTTTATTTTGTGACCCTAACATTTGAAAAGCTTCTTGTTTATAGCGAATTTTAACAAAAGAAAATTGTTCTTCACGTATCAGTTTTTTGGGGTCATGTAGTATGATCACCTATTTATAACAAATAGGTAGAAATAAACACTGTAATCCTATTGGTTAAAAAAGAACCCAACATATTTCAGCTGTTTGGCTCTTACTCGTCTCTTGTTGATTTTGACTAACGAACAAGATAGTCAGGTAGATAGGTTTATAGATAAAATTATTCACCCACCTTAATAAAATAAGAGGGAATGTGTGGTGGTGTTTTCAAAAAATTGTTCTCTCATAACACATACAAATAAATGCGAATATAATTATACATTCAGTGGTGTGTGTACAATTGTTTATGTGGTTATAGACATACATACAAACGTTAATGCAACAAGTTAACCAGTTTAAAACAATCACAGTTTAGGATGAATTTATTAATTAATTCAGAAGAACTGAATTAACTCATCGGTGGACATCTATCCCAATAATAGAATATTTCACTGGGTTATTAAATGCTGTCGTTTTACATGATAATTCCTTTAATTAATTAATTATGAAATTATGATTTACATGTAAATATTTTAGAGTCGATTGCATAATGTACAAAAATTTACTATTGTATTACATAGTAGTATTATTATCGATAACATTCTATGATGGCACATTTATCTATACATCACAACATGAGACAACCAACGCGAATAAACCAGTTCGTTTGAGAAGCAGAGTAAGTCAAACAAACCAAGCTTTCAAGGTTGACGAATATTTATTGAACAAAATGCAGGATGATGAAGGAGATTTAAAGCTTTCTAAAGAATTCCCAGTACTTGATACATTGATATCTTCTGAAGGAGATAAACATCCATCAGACAGCATAAATCAAAAATTAGAAGGCCCATCTTCAAGAACTAACATTTATCACAATAACAATAACAGAAAGAATAAAATAAATGGACAGCGTTTACCAAAAGATTCCAGTCTACTTGATTCATTTTGGCCTAATTCTAATGTTGGAAACATATTTGACATAGGGTGGGATCCGAATCCACCTAAAGAAAGTAAGTAGTTTATCAAATAATAGTCATGTGTCATTCACAAATGCTTATTTCATAGGATAAACAAGTGAATCTTTATTACTTCAATAGCACATCTTTTTTATTCAGTTGGTTAGGTGCTCTACTTTATTTATTTCCTAGAAAATTGAGTAAACGTACCCAACCTTCAGTAATGCTTCATTATAGGAAATTCAATATATTAAGTGAATTTGCTGTTAATATTTATAATGGCTGTTTGTTTCACTCATTTACATTTATAAATTATGACACATTGGCTTCTGGTTACCAGGGTTTGTTACGTTTAGTTCGTTGATGTACTGACCGGAATGTAAAATCTTATGAATGTGTCCAGTGTCAGCTAATCATAGTTGCGGTACACGATCATAAAAGATAATCTCGAAAGGAATTGGATCAGAACTTTTATCTGTGCGTTTACGTTTTTTCACTACTAGCATGTTAACAATTAGTAGGAAAACGTTTTAATATGATTACATTGAACCGTGTCACAGTTAATAGCAGGTTACTGTAACACCTAACTTCACTCTTTTATAATTGAAGTCTATTTGACAATATAGTTAAAAGGGCAGTGGTGATTAAATCTATGGTAAAACAATATAGCTAATCGTTTTCATTAGTTCCTCATCAAGTTGATCTACAAATTTAAAAAAGTATCTGAGTCTACAAAATTGAGCTTTCTCATTAATCGGACGCAAATAAAAGGTCTTGAAAAATAACAACATATATTTTCTTGGCTATAAATCAATCATTAAGCGATCATGAAAGGCACCCATGACAATAAACTAGATATAATTGATGTTTGACGTCAAACATTTGATGGAATATTCTTCGTAATCTCCACAACCCCAATACTGATAATCAACATGTGCTCACTAGTGACTAGCTTCCTGAGGGAATTCTCGGAGTTCTAGTGAGAAGCCGTGACCAGTGGAGCTAATCCGTGTCGGGTAGAGACAGGTATCTACCTCAGTACAATGGAAGATGGTGACGCAATTCCGTGGATTGGTTGATGTTGGACACTAACACCACTGGATGCCAGCTCAGTGGTCCAGTAGGTTAAGCGTTCGCGCGCGAGACTGAAGGCCCTGTGTTCTAATCCCGCAAGCGGGATCGTGGATGCGCACTGCTGAGGAGTCCCACGCTAGGACGAAACGGTCGTCTAGTGCTTCCAGGTTTCCAACGGTGGTCTAACATCAGTCGATTCATGATCTGAATCGAAAATATTTCATAACAAGTTTGGTTTTAGGGAGTAGCTAATTTCCATTAATATTTTGTTCCACAACTTAACGTCGTCAATACTAGGATCGTTTGTGCAAATACGTTTAATCCTATTAAATAGACCCCTTATCAAACTCCGTTTGTATTGCATTGGGCAGTAACTATAATAGCTAAGGTAGTGGACTGTCCAAGTTAGTCTTCTAAAAATGGATTGTTTGATTAAATCATCTTCTTGTCTACTTATAAGTATATTTAAGAAGGGAAGCCGGTCGTTTTTCTCCTATTTGCACGAAAGACTAATGTGGTTTTGGAGAGTGTTATGTTTATTCAATAAGCAATTCATAACGTCCTTTCTTTCACAGATAACTAAGATATCGTTCACTTATCTCTTATAAAGAGACATATTTACAATCAGGTCTTCAGTTAGCTACACATGAATATTATTGATATGGAGGAATTTGATTTTCAAAAACCTGTGGGTTTTGAATATCCTCATTAACATGGTTTGCCTAAAATCTGCAAATCAAACATTTCTTTACGCTAAATTTTATCAATGTATCGATTACCTACATATAACATAGCTGAATGGATGACAAGATTTCTGGATCCTATCCGAAGACGTTTATGTAAGTATTCTCTGAAGGACTCTTTCTAATTTAGGTGATATTAATATCAAGGGAAAGACAATTTGTTCATCTGATGTGAATTCCTTGTTCACTAATAAACCTTGGGAAAAATCTCGGTTTTGTTTCATTCTTAGTATATGAATTTCAAATACATATATTACTTTTTTATGTTGTTACGTTTTACAACATGAATGGGAAATTTACAGCCATTGTCATTTTCAAATTATCGTTGTTTTGGAAAAATTCAATTTTTGACTCTGACATATATTGTTAACTTGACAATAATAAGTAAGGTTTACAGTGAAATTACTTTCTCTCTAATAAAGTGGTTAGATTATCGTGGTTTTTTTCCAGTCTTATTAGATGATTTGACCACTCTTTGAAAATTTTTTATTGTAATTTCCCTAATGGGTGGAAAGAAATTTTGTCCACTTTTCTGAACCATAATTCCTCTTTTCTTTCCTGTCCTTTCTTCGCCCTTACGAGAATTGAGCTAATTGTTGTTAAGGCATTGTATCGTTCAACAAAATGACCAATAAAGCCAGACATTGACCGGTAGTAGACAATAGAGAAAAATTTATGTATTTAAACAATAACCAGGAAACGGTATAGATATAATCTTTTATATAAATTCAGTTTGTAAACGAGTTTTGAACTTGCAAGAATTACAAATGGTGATAAGCTGTTTCTTTTTCAATAGATTACTCTTAAAATAATCCAAAATATTATTCAAAAATAGGGAGAATCAAGGAAAGCTACGCAAATAGTTGATTATAGTTTGTTATTTTAAACAGTAGGTAGTGTTAGCTCTTCATTTTCTGGATTAAATTTAATTGGTTAGTTCGAACTTTATCTGTGGAGGGTATCAGGTTATCGAGAGGCGAAATTCGTCGAAATAAACCATCTTCAAAGGTTTTTAACAATGCTGAAAATTCTTCAGTTTTCCACAGAAATTCGTGATTGTTTGGGCCAGTAAAGTATGGTCTAGAACTGACAGCCTGAAGACTATATTTCCAAATTTTTAACCTATGTTTAGTAAAAACAGACTCATTCACTTAATAATAACCACGTTCTGTAAATTGGTATTATTCTTGAAATTTTCGAATATATTTTTAGCAGCTAATCACATTTTTTCAAAGTCAGTCTTGGTGTGACTTAGTATATATATATATATATATATATATATATATATATATATATATATATATATATATCATGGACTAACCTAAGTTAGACAACGACTGAAAATCGGGATGTATCGGACGTCTGCTTTATCCTAGAAAAGACTCAGAGGTGCGCCATCCATGACCCCACCGGAAAGAGCGAAACGGTTATTCAGTACACTCTGGTTTTTAATAGATGTCTAACTCCCAAAACTCTCCGCAGATTTCTGTACAGATAGTAGATATCACACATATTTTAACTGACCTGATATGGATATCTTTTTATGGGTGTACTGAACGTTTTCTGTCCAAACATGTTTATTCCTCATGTATTAGTGCTCAGCATTTTAGATTATGTTACTTACGTTGTTGTCTGTAGACGAAAGAGGATATGAAACCTTTAGATTAAGATTATTAAATATATCACTTAGTAAACGTAGAGACGTTCATGATATGATTTATATAAAAATAAGTTTAAGATAATTTAGAATTTTACCACACCAAATGATCTTAATTTTAAAATTGTATCATGACCAACTCAATTGACACATCAATAACACATAAAATTGGCTAAGGTTATTTTTATTCACCTGATAAATCTATTTACCTATTTGTACATGTAGAAACATTTGGTTTCTTATTCACTTTGAGAATTAATTAAATGTGATTTTAGATCGACTTCTTTTGTTCAGAATTTATTGATTGCCAGTACTTGGGGTGATGTCCAATTTGACATTAGTCCTTATTTATCAATACTAAAAGACTTCTATGAAGTATTTATTTAAACGCCAACCAAATGATAAGTAGGGTTGGCAGATTGATCATGAGAAGTGTAATGGTTGAAGTGAAGCTCAATAAAAATGAAGTATGTCTCATTACCTGGTTAGGCTTTCCTATTTGGATTAACGTTTTCAGTCGTTGTCAATCATTTCTTTTCCTTTTCATATACTGAGAAAATGAAGTTGGTTGAGCAGTTGATACATGTAGAGGTTAATGATTCTAAGTATTTAATGCTTTTCACTTTTGAAGATGATTAGTAGGATTCTCTTTACTAGGTATGAAAGGCAATCGTCTTGAATAAGCTTAAGAATAATGGTTAGTTTAACTGCTAAAGCAGTTGATCATTCAATAAAAAAGTGTAAATTCATCAACGCTCTGTGTTGCTTATCGTAATTTATGATGGTTAAATGTAAGTTCCTCAATAGAGTAAGTGATCTGAGGTTACAAAAATCATTTGAGATAATAGAGTATTATCAACATAATTAATAATCCACAAGTCAGCAGAGAGGAACTCAAATATACAACTATGAACTAGAACAGCTAACGCTTATTGGTTTCTGAACTGACCAGAATGTGGAACATTATCATGCTTTTAAGTTTACATACCTCTAGAAATATTTTAACTCAGTTATTATTGTAGTTAATAAATACAATAAAGTAACGTCCTAAAATACTCATAAATTGGGATCGATGAAGAAATATATGTATAAATTGTAGTTAGTCGGATTTAAAATGCAAATTGTACTTATGTGAAAGCTATATATACCATTTCTCAATTTGATGGTTAATTTGACTAAAACTATAAGGTCAGTGAAGTCTATTCCAATGGATTAACAACAGTGTATTCATAGATCAAGTTTATTTATTATGCAATCAATATGAATTCAAAGGAATTGTAGTTGCATGTGTTGTTGTGTTACACAATCGACGTAATGCTAATTCTGCAAGTGATGTTATTTAAAATAGAGATACAATAATACTTATAATAATTTTTGCTCTCCTCTGACAAAATGATTAGTCTGTGTAAATTGTGTTAAACAATTATTTTTATTCATTATTGTTTTGTAAGTCCATTTATATACATTGGTGAAACATGCTTCTGATAAGTGTTGAGGTGGGAATAAAAACCAAAATAGCGCTACAGAACATTAGCAAAAAATTAGTGTTTGTCGATTTTTCGCTTATTTATTGTCTATGA